AGTAATTCTTGGTGCATAATAAAGGCATCTGACTATTTGTGAAAAACTTGCTATATCGAGAGGATTTAATAGACCATCGATAACGATATCAAGAGTTTAATTAATCTTAACTTTATCAAGGGCTTATTGTAATAAGAGTCACTTATATTACGTAAAACAAAATAAAACGTTATAAAAAAGAATTTATCCATCAAATGTATATGTATGATCTAACCAAAATTTTTGCAAAAATTAATTTATATAATAATGGAAATAACAGAAATAAACAAACTTGATATTTATATGACAAAGTAACTCTTAATATAATTTATTCATTAAAAACTTTATATGTTATAATAACACATGACCAAATTTCTATAGCTTGTTATATTCGTCTCAATGAGACGAATATTTTAATGGTTTTTTATCAATCGGAACCAATGTTCTTTTGTTTGAAATTTTGTTCCAATGCTTATGCACGCACTTTACAGTATATATTAATTTAAATTCAAAGCTTACGTTACTTTATCTTCAATTATGCACATGTTACTACATGTGAAGATAAATTTCAAAAATCTGTGTAATGCTTTGCTTATACTGCATTGCTAGAACTTTGATGCTTCATAAATACATGTACATATAGTTTACTAGAACATGTAGTTTGCATTAATGTTTGATAACAAAGCAAATCTAGAAAGATAGCTTTTCACCTTCAAAGTATTCGTTGAGAAAAAATCTCTACTTGAACCCGCAATTAATCAATGGATAATATAATAATTCCTCCTAAAGACAATCTATCGATATCGATATAGCACATAAAGATGATCCTTATTTATTAAAACGGTAAGACTATGAATAGGTTTACTACGTCCAAAGCATAAAATAACCGGGATTTATGAATTGAATTTCGGAAAACAATGAGATCATTGGTAGTTTACGCACTATGTGTCATATCACAGGAAGATTACGTATTAATCAAATTGAACGTCTTCACTTGGAAAAAAGAATTCTAAGTTAGTAATTGGTTTAAAAAGAAATTGTGAAAGCTTCATTGTAAAATTTGAAAGACCATTAAAATGATAACATGAATTCAGAAATACTAATTCGAATTCCATGTCATCTATGAAACATTTAAGCTGTAAGAGAGACTTACTCAGATAGATGTTTGCAAATTTCTGCTTACACAATTTGTCCTCCGTATAATCATCTTCCACACGATCACATCATATTAAAACCTCTTGTGCCTTAGAAAACCATGTAATAAATTATGTGATTATATAAAGGTGTCACTCTGTAGCGCCTAAGATAAATTTATTTAAACTCGCTTTACAGGAAACTAATATGAATTTTGAATAAATTTTTATCAATTTATTTATTTAATATTTATAATTTCTCTAAAATTCTGTTATTAGAATGTCTTTACACTTAAAATAGATGCTGCCGCATGCTTAACAAAGAAAATTACGTAACGAATAAATTTATATCAAAGAGAAAAGTTCTTCGAATTTTTCTGGAACGCATGAGAAATGATAGTGAAATATTTTTAATAGCATTTGAAATTATCTAAACATGGTGATGCTTGAATAAAAATATATTATTGGTTTCTGTCACCAAAATGGCGTAAGAACGAGCAAAAACATTCAAATGATACATAAAGAATGAGATGCCAATGTTTGGTTTGAGTTATTATTACAGAGATGTGTGTTCGTGTTTACAGAAAGCAAGCTGTGTCAGAAAATATTAATACAAGTAAATCTTGATAAAAGCATCCGTATTATCAGTAAAAGATTTTAAAAATTTACTATATCGAGGAGATTTAATATTTAAGCTCAACTTTACTATATCAATACTATTAACGAGATTTGATCTTTTTCACAGTCACGGATGAATATTCACGACGCTATCTAAAATTTCAGCTCACATAATAATCCACAAATCAAATCAATGAAATCGAATTTAACTTCAAAAAACTAACGCTAACACTAAAGGTCACGATTTATGGTCAGTGAAGAAATACCTTTTCCTATCATAGTCACGGGATGCTTATTCGTGATTGAAAATTATACTTACAAGGTGCCTATTCATGATGAGTGCTTATTCACGTAGTTAATGAAATAACAGAAAAACGGGAGAATCAAAAATGAAAATAATTTCCCAAGTTAAAAGTACAGATTAGTTAATTTAGATTAAAGGAAAAGGATGAATGGAAAAATTGATTCGTGAAAAAATGTGAATCAGAGCCAGACTCGGATCAAAATCTCGAAAATTTTTACAGGGATCCATAGCGATAGTACATGTTCTAAGACACATTAGTAATTTGTTTCAGTTTATTAGGGAATAATTTTCATGAAATGTTTGATAGGAAAAATGTATTTTGCATTTTTGTTTGTTGTACAGTCAACTCTCTCTCTGAATGGTCCGGTATATTGTATGAAGTGCCGGTTATGAAGGAAGGCCCTGCGCTAGTATTATTCACAAAAGAATTTTATCGATAATCGAATTACAAATCTTGATAAGAGTTCTACCACATGTAATTTTGAGGTTAATTATCTTCTGGAACCAATTGTTCTCTATAAAGTCTAATTCCTTAATAAGGAAAACTTTTAATACCCAAAGCATGAAAGATGTTACCTTAGTGCATACATGATCGGAGATAGCGACAAATGATGTTTGCGACGATGTCTATGGGAGATTTGTCATTACTGTAAATGTATGTTGGCGTAATTCCTTCATGTAAAGCTGCTGCAAACGTTATGATGCACTTGATAAAGATCCGCATTCTACATCTTGCATAGAATATTCAACTTGACGCATATCTCTATCGTATTCAAACATGTGTATAAAAAGAATTGAAACACTTTGTAATTTTAATAAAAAAGTTAATGTTTAGCAAAAATGAGTTTTTCATGCTCGATATGGATATTTTACACATTGTGTATGAAAAGGCTCGGAATTAGCAGAGAATAGAGTTTCAATCACCCGATATTTTGGATCTTTTGAGTGATTCGCTGCTAATCTAAATAGAGTTCGTTCTTATTGACATGCATCCAGATAAAATTTTCACGTTTTTCTTTTCCATTTTCTAAGACACAAGCACGTTTTTTTGCGATAAAAATTCACCGATTGCGCGCGTGTATGGGATACACTGTTACTAAAATCGTTCGCGTTGCGTTATGTAACTCAAAATTTTACTTGATGAAAAACGGAATAAGTTGCACAACTCGTTTTTAACATAGCAAAACAAACACATAATACATAGTTCAAACGCCAAAAGGATAAATAGGATGAATGCCGAATAAGATGACGAATTCTCAAGTGTATGAGAATTATTCGACGATGTATTCAATCAAGTGGTAAATTTGGCTAGCACAGAAGAATCTAGGTATCAACGGTGGAAATTTAAATCTCAACGTACGAGACCTCAGTTTTATACCCTTCGTGAGCTGAGAATCTATTGTCATTTGTTATCAGCGGTCATAATAAACATGCGTTTACGAGTGTTTGTTTTTCACAAAGTTTTTTAAAATAATTCGTGCACTCAACAACGACCTAAACATGCCGTACATATGCATTTACATGTATATGCAAAGCAGCATAACTAAAACGCATAATGTAAGAATGAACGCTTTATTACGTTCAGGGTAATAGAAAAATGGTGGGATTAACAATAAAAAAATGTAAAGTTACGAAAAAGGACGCATTAATATTATATGTAATAGATTACACCAATTATATTGAACTGAAACGTAACAAATGAATGGGTTTATATTGATCAATGGTGATAGGGGATATTATTCGAAGAGTTCAATATGAAAATGGTAACAGTAAACAAAGACATATATCAACAATAGCAGAATGCCTTGCATAAAAATCCTTCATACTTAAAAACACGTTTCATTATTACAGAGATGCCTTTTTCTGATAAAAAGAATAATCGTAATCGTAAAAAAAAGAAAAAAAAATGGGCTCTATTGACAACGAAAAAAGGAAACACTGATAGGCAAGAGACGATGACCGATATTTTTTGACTCAAGAGACTTACTCGAAATGGATCTTCTCCAAAAATGCGTCACCTAATTGTTTAGCCATACCGATACCAATTGAGCGGATGATTTCACATTGCACAATTGCACAAAGGTGTGTGTCTAGCGTGAATTTAAAGTGGACCGAGAATTAAATACATGTAAATCGGAAGCAGGAAGAATTTGGGGTATGGTGGTGTTGATAAAGAAATTGATTTTGTAACGTTATACCCGAACACACAAAACTATATATAAGCACACATACATGTGCCGCCGTATATTTATTTGTTTATTTAGTTTAGTGAACTAGAGATTTCTAATACATCGGGAATAAAATAAATACATGTATTTTACTTTATTTTATTTATTTATTTATTTATTTATTTATCTATTTATTTATTTATTCTTTAAAACTTGTATTCTTGCAGCACACAAATCATCCTTTGCATCTTGAAAAAAGGCTTCGTCGTCGTTGTCGGCACACGTTACGTTGTTTCTGTTTCTGTTCAAGCATAACGTGGAATTTAACCTTATATTCTGCAACTATTAATTCAACAACATTACAAATATTATTACCGGTAATAATTATAATGAAAATCAGAAAAAATTAGAAAAAAAACCTTTTTTTTATCCAAAAAATTTATTTAAATAACTATATAACGACAAAAAATCTGTTCCTCCTCCCAAAAAAATACAACCGACTCAACCGAAAAAAGAAGTTTGCTGAATTGCTGGGAACGATTCCACTCTTTTTTTCTTTGTTCACGTAAAACTCATCTCAAGAAACTATCTTTGGTTTAGACTAGAGAACAGTGATAATATCGTTTGAAACTCGACTTTGGTTGGTCAGTGAGCACCTACGATATAAGCGTTCATATCAACCACGTAAAGATTATTATTTTTTTTTTATCAATTATCCTTGTGGCATTAATTTTTAAGTTTAAACCGATAACTTACTTTTTTTCTTTGCCGGTGAGAAGTAAATAATTGTTCAATCAAATGACGAATCCTGGACTTCAATCAATTGCTGATCTTACCGCCTCAACATGTATAACAACCGGTGACATTCCCCCGCCATTAGTCGGTTCCTCAACGACAGTCATAGGAATGCGACTATATTTATTCGCTGGTAGACTGGTATCATCTCGTCGAATGACAAATGATCTTTATATACTCGACCTGAACACATTCGTGTGGACAAGGTTCGCAGACGAAGAGAACAAAGCTCCAAAACCCAGATATTTTCATTCCGCGAACCAATACAAAAACATGATAATATTCTTTGGTGGGATGGGATACTCGACTACGTCGAATGACGGACTATGCGTGTTGGACGATGTGTCGGTATTCGATCTGGACACTTGCAAATGGCATCATCCGGAGATTGCGCCTTCCTCATCTTCACCACGTCCCAGATACGCGCATTTAGCTTCAATCACGGCTAATAAGTTGGTGATTGTCGGTGGACAAGATATGAAGAATTATTATATTGAGCAGATTAATGTGTTGGATTTGGATCAGTGGTGTTGGACTTATTCACGGACATTTGAGAAACACTGTGGCGCTTATCGATCTGTTGCTGTGAGCAGCACATGTCACACTAATTTACCATTGTTTGCGAATAGTGTTGGTCAAAATTTGGTTGGTTCGTCGAAAGAAGCCTCGGTCTCCAATAGTTACATTAATGAGTCACGACCATCAACACCAGATGTAGATTTATCTCAAAGATTGCGCCGATCATCCTCTTCACAATCTTTCCATTCGAGCAGTAATGTAACTAGTAATAATAATGATAATAACAACAAAAATAATAATAATAGTGGACAAACAATTCGAAAACCACCTTCTATTGGTGCATTTGGTGCTCGAAATCCATCATCACGTCGACCATCTCTTGTAAAACATCAACGTTCATCAAGGCGCTTGCAATCAGGAAACTCTGTTTATCGATTCTCATACACGACATACGTGACAGAAGATAATCCGAACCCAATCTATTTATATTCGAATTACAATTTCACCGATGTGAAACGTGAACTACAAGTCATTGATCCACCAATGAAGTCAGATTATCAAATCATGGATCACTCAGCAAATATGACTGGTGCATTTCTGCCGCCGGGTCTTCGATTTCCTACAGGTGCTATTCTCGGGCACCATCTAATAATCTCGGGTACTTATCTGACCAATAGCATTCAAACATTCAGCATCTGGACATTGAATTTAGCGAATTTAGTGTGGACTCGAATTGACACCGGATCATGCTTCAATCACGGATCATGGAATCGGGGAGTTTTATGCGAAGAGAGTAACAAGTATATTGTACTTGGTCATCGTGATCGTTCGCTCGTGGAAGATTATAATCATCGACAAACAAATTTCGATCACGTGACAGTGGTTGATTTGGAAGCGTTTGGTGTTTATCAACCTCCACCGGCAACGATGTCACCAGTTGCTCAGGAACTAGGACTTGCATTGATGAATGAACCAAATATGGCTGATTTCGAGATAGTCACGATTGATAAACACCGCATACCCGTAAATTCGAATGTCTTGTCAAGCAGATGGCCTCATTTTCGAATGTTGGTAGATAAACATGCGGATCTTGCAGCCGAGGTTAGCTATGATGAGGACGTTCCGCGACCAGCCAACGAAGAAACCGGAATATTGATGTATCGAAATCGAGCTCTAGAATTTCCAGAGACATTTAATGTGACATTAGCATTCTTACAGTACTTGTATACAGATCATTTGCTGACAGCACAACAACATCAACCTGCTGTACTTGCACAATTGCTTTTACTGGCAGACATGTATAATCTCGAGAGACTTCGTCAATTGGCCAGACATGGTCTTCATCAATTACTGAGCATGGCAACTGCCGCATTGATCTATGAGACGGCTGCGTTATCGCGACAGACCGGACTTCAGATTCGTGCATTAAAAGTTATGATTGCTGCCAAGAAAATGTTGCAACAACAGCAGCAGCAGCAACAATCATCACCATCCTCACCAACAAATGATCAACAACAAAGAGCACATCATTATCATAATATGAGCGTGAGCAGTAATACATCAGTACTTACTCGATCCTCATATATTGATCAAGATCTTATATCACCAATGACTCAATGGTCGAATTCATCAAGTCCACCTCCATCAGCAGCCCTCGATCAGACAAGAACATCATATTACGATCCATATGTCACTCATATGAATGTGCCTTATAATGGTGGTAGTTTTCGAACACGTGCATCATCAGCAGCTTCAGCTCTCTCGCTTTCTAATAATTTAAGAAATTATTTACCAACAATACAAGATTCAATATCTTCTGCAGAAACAATCGTGGAAGATGGACAATCGACAACATCCACAATAGCTTACAACTCATTAAGATCCACGCGATCGACGAATTCATTAAAATCCATAAGATCCCACTCCGTAAGTTCGCAGAATAATAATGGTAGTGGTGTTGGATATGTTGAGGCTCAACGACGGCAACATCATCAGCATCATGATTCAGGATTCAACTATATCAATAATCGATTAACCAATCTGGCTTTTAATTGATGGGATGGACTCGGTTTTTTTTTTTGAGAAGGGGAAGAATCAATTGTATTTATTTATAGCAGGGGGCAATGACGACAAAAATAACACATGTAAATTACAAAAAGTTTTTATGTTTGACGGTTTATATGGGGATAAGGGCCGGGACATCTGTAATTTTGTTTATTTCATTTTCTCATTTTACCATCATCATTGTGCAACACCAAAATCAGCATTATCAAACATCAGAATTATTTATCCACATTCTTTATCTACTTTACTTGAAATCTATTAGCATATATCATATTTAAGTACATACATGTACGCTTTTATTCTTAATCTTTAGGTCTGATGCATCATTTTTGTACATCTTTTTCGTTTGTTCTTTTTTTAAATCTTATTTATTTATTTGTTACTTTTAGAACATTGTGTGTGTCATATTAAAAACAAAAAGTATATATTTATAAATACCTCTCTTTATTTATAATAAAAATAACTTTTAAATTGTCATGATTTATTATTTTTGATGCGAACGCGTATATTATTCTACGACTGTTAAACGACAAATGTATAACTAATATATAGAAACTACTTTTATAAGGATAAAATATATACATGTACGTGATATAATAAATTTTAATCAAAGCTAAGATAGTTTCTGTCGGACTTACCGTTGAACTTACTGTTGTACCCCAAATCTAATCTCTCGAATTTACCCAAACATTTCTCAATATTGCGATCAAGATATGCTGAAATTATATGATCGTCACTGTAACCTAAGCTTAGTGAATGTAGATCTAGTAAATCTTCCAAAACCTCGGACGGACGTGGTGGTGGAAAAACATGAATTTTTTGCAATTTTTCTTCAATCTTATCGTTTATCTTGCTATTATGTGCCTTTCTTTCGCCACAAGTATGTTGACGGCGTGGAATAAACGTCATGGAATAGAGATCGTTCAATTGGCCTAATCCTTGGATGTATATAAACCAACACTTTTGCAGTTTTATGATCGTTTCTTTGGATAAGTCAATGAAGTTCGGCACATTGATCGATTCTAGAAGTTCATCCAACACGAGCATAAAAGATTTTTTGTATATTTGCGAGAACGAATGTTTTTCGGCAACGATTAAAGAAACAATTGGTTTTTCGTGAAAACGTAACTCTAGGAAGTTCTTTACATCGTTGGGAATGCTTTCAATTATGTATTTGTCGGCGAGTTGTAATAATTTTTGGATTATCTGCCAGTTTATTCGTACTTTGGGTGGATACATAAAGCTCAATAACAATTCAAGCTCACTTGCGGACTCCGCTAAGGTGATTTCGGGAGTTCTAGCATCGTCCTCGGTAGCTATCTTGAACATATCATTAAAGACAACAGACGAATGAGCTAGAATACCACGATGTACTTTGAAGATTGTGCTCTCTGCTATAAGCAGGATGTTCCCATCTTCGAAATAATGAACTTTACTATTTTCATATTTTTTATTTTCGGCCATTTTGTTTTTTAGTTTCTTGGGAAAAAAAATGCAAATTTATGTTTAAATATAACAGGTAGCCCCAAGAATGATATATATGATCGTACATAATAACGATAATAGATATTGATTTATAATCAGTGATGACATTCGAGCATCTCGCGTTTTGTGTTTGATGACAGAACATGTTTGAATAATGAAAGTCATGTATGTCCCGATTAACCCAGCTATAAGAAACAGTATTTCGCTGAATATTGTGTTAAATTAGCATGAAATAGTGTGTATTCACAGTTCGTTAATAAATATATGATTTTCTATATACAAATTACGAATACAAATCATCACACACAAGTTCTTGCGAGCAATTTATTTTTTAATGACTGGTTCAAAATTCGTTTATAATGTATCTTCAACAATAATAAAAGTAGCATTATATGTGTAAACACTTTAAAAAGTCCTTTTATAGACACATGTAAAATACCGTCTGCACATATAAAAGTCCCTTTACATACTATAAAACAAAATTTTGCATAGTGGTAATTTAATACGTTTAAAGCGACACTTTTTATGCGAACCCGATAGATTTTTTACAGTCATCCATTACTTATAAGACGGGTTAAAGACTCAATCCGGTTTATTATTCTTATTAAAAGTCACACTGCATTAATAGAAGGTCATGAGTTCAAACTTGCTTTAATGGTAATAATAATCAACGCGGCACAAATTAAACATTTCTGATTCTACTGAACAAATTAATAATATTAAATCATTGATAGCTTTGTTTTTATGATGTTGATAGTATTAACATCTTTATATTAGTACTTTTATATATAGATAAGTTGGTTACTAATAATATTATACATTATCTATAACTTTAAAAAAAACCTTTATATTAAAAATATATATTAAATATTTTATTTTGTTACTGGTACATTATTTAATGATTAACTTAGATTGCGTATGAAGAACATACATGAAGATAGAAAAACTAAAGAAAAAGAGATAGATAATCAAAGAAATAAATAATAAAGATAAAGTATATAAGAAAAGAAAATATAAAAGAGAAATCAGATAAATATGTATTTCAAGAGAGAAATTATAAAAGAATATTGATATTTTTATTTTAATGATATTATGTTTTGTATTTAAAATTAAAATTACAAACCAAAAAAAAATATAAAAAAAATTATAAATATTAAACAAAAAAATTAAAATAATAAATTAAACATGAATTATTTAAATAGAACCATTAAAATACAATGATATGAAATTAGGAGATTAATTTTATTAATAAAGTTTATAAGTTATAGTTTGATATATATTTTTTTCAGAGTTTTTAGATTTTTTCTGAAAGAATTTTTCTAATTGCAAAGTTAATAAAAAATTTTTACTAATTAAAAATAAAAATTAATAAAAAATATACAAAGATAACTTTATTATATTAAAATGATTGATACTATTAGTAAAAATTCAGTTTATCTAAGATCTTATTAATAAATTCAGTTTAATAAGATAAATTTATTATAATTAATCCTGGAGCTATTTTCAATTATAATTAGTACTTCAGTTAAACAGAGTTTATTATAATGAGATTATCTTTATATAATAAACTATAACTTATAAACTTTATTTTAATATAAAAATAAAACTTATTTCTTAATAAAATTATAAAATTTATTATAAAAAGAAATTTTTAATTTTTATTATATTTTAATAATAAAATTAATTCTCTGATTTTATAATTATAAAAGTCATCATATATAATAATTTAAAAAAAATAATTGAATAAATTTAAAAAGTAATTATATAATAATAACTAATTAAATTTATATAAAAATTAATATATATATATATATAATTTAATATCTATAAAAAAATTTACTTAAGATTATTTATTAAAGAATATTAATATTTATTTTTTTATAGATTAAAAAAATTAATATAAATATTTTTTAGAAAAATTTTATATATATTATATATAAAAAGTTTTATAAAATACTAATTTTAATTATATTTTTCTTTATATATAATAAAAATTTTATTAATTTTATCAAAATTTTTCTAAAAATTCTTTATAATTTAATAAATAAATTTACTTAAAAATAATATATAAATAATATATTAAAATTATTTTGAGAAATTTTTTGAATTTTATTTTAAGTTTATAAAAGATATTATTAAGATTTTTTATTAAATATATTATTTTTTATTTTTAAATATTAATATATATATATATATATATATAATATTTTTTATTATTTAAATAATTATAATATTTTTTATAAATTTTATTTAAATTAAAAAAATTCTAATTTTTTTTAATTTATTATATAATAATAAGAATAAAATATTTATTTATTTTTAACTTATTATTATAAAAATAAAAAA